AGAAATCAAACTCAGGGCTTCATGCCTGCAAGGCAAGCACTCTACCACTGAGCCACCTTCCCATCCCCTAAGTTTCTTTTGCTCAAAGCTAGCGCTCTTCCACTTGAATCACAACTCCAGTTCTGGCTTTGTTTTGGTGATAAATTGGAGATAAAGACTTCACAGATTTTCCTGCCCCATCTAGCTGGGTACAGAAATCCTTAGATCTCAGCCTCCTGAGTAGCGAAGTTTATAGATGTGAGCCATCAGTGCCCAGCATCTGTAAGAGGTGAGAACTATTCTTCTGAAGGCACAAAATTTGTACAAAGGTGCTATCATTTAACATATAATGTTTAAGGTGCAAATAAAAATAAAGAAAAAAATGTATTCTTGATTAAAAAAATAAAATATGGAAAACTAAAAGACAATTTCGTTAAGACTATTTAGGTAAGAAAATAAAAAGAATCTTATATAATCAAGTACAGCAAACTAAAAAAAAATCAATAATTAAAACCTGAGGAGAATCTTCTATTGACTGACAGTCTTTTACACCCAGTTTCCTCTGGTTGTAAACATAAATTCTTTGGGTTATTAGGATATTCCCTTGTAGGTTACAGGGCCCAGGACTGCTCTAACACGAACTCCCTCCTCCCTATGCTGCCACGCCCAACCCAATAGTGCCAACACATCATGTAATGCAACTTCCAAGACCCTGAGACACAATAAGTACTTCCTCAGTAAAAATTAATTGCCTCAGATATTTTGCTGAAGAGATGGAAAGCTGACCATAGGAAGTACTAAGTAAATCTAACTAAGTCTATTTGGCTCCTGTCGTGTCCCGGCAACTTCAACAGTACATAGCACATGATAAATGATAGCATTTGAGTGGGTATCCGTGTGCCACCCTTTGAATAGAGTTTAAAAAAATATTTGAGTAGAAATATACATGTTGCTTTCTGATCTTGAAAGCCTCTTCCTGTCTGTTCTCAGCAGTCTTCACCCTTCCTTGCCTACTCTATGTGGATAACTAGAAATTCCAGGTAGCTGGCTCTCCAATGGCTCAGTCAATTCTCTTCCTCCTCAACTCACAATTGGACTAAGGTATTTGTTTTGCTGTAAGATAACTGTTTACACAATTGTTTATCTCCTGCCTGAGTTAAAAAATATTCAACTTTTCTGAAAAGTCTCTCATAGAATATGAGAGAATATGTTTAAATAAACATGCGTGGACACATAAATTAATGAATAACTGAAGTATATAGCTCAATGACACATCAGGAACAACAGGAAAATACCCTTTTGAGGGACTTATAGCCAATGTCAGACATTTATCATTACAGCATTTTAAATATGGTTGAAAGGATAAGTAGTATAAGTATCTGAATGAGTTAACAAATTGTGCCAGATTCTCTTTGAATTTCCATATTCTCTGAGAAACTAGTAATAACTGATAACTTCTGCTAATTGCTGTCTTGTAAGAAAAGAAACACAATTTGGTTGACAGAAGTTATTTCTCTCTCTCTCTCTCTCTCTCTCTCTCTCTCTTTCTCTCTCTGTGTGTGTGTGTAGTTAGCTTAGGCTGTCATGGGGTGAAGGGACAGGGATGCTACTAGAAGAAGATGTCTTTATCAAGGTTACCAGGGTTGCTTCCCAGTGGGACACTCTACCTCTTCTATCTTCTTAGTCATAGAGTTCCTAGTACAAACCTCATGCAGACTATTTGATTCCAATGACATTGTGGTAAAGATGTTAAGGAGGAGATGCGTTTTGCTGTGGAAATCAAGACAGAGGGAACATCATGTGAGAAAATGAAGACTTCCATGTAAGCAAGGCAGGTTTAAATCCTAAGGACCCGTTGGATCTGAAAGGGGTCTTCAGTGCATGGGGCAGGGAGACAGAGCATTAGGACTGCAGGCAAATTCTGTAACCTGCATGCCCTGGAGAGCCCTTAAGATGACAATATCTGGCTCCACAATGAAGGTGGAGCCAGATATTGTCATCTTAAGGGCTCTCCTTATGTCACTTCAGAAGAGGATGTCTAGGAAGACTGGTGACAAGGGTTCCATGCATTCCTATCTATACCTCATGCACTTGTTTCATCAAAGCAACTTTAACTGGCTTTACATACTCAGGATTTATATGCTTTTGAGAAATAGAAGTTTAATATATGAACATAACAATAGATGACAGTCAAGGCTGGAAAGTTGGAGATTTAGGAGTAAAACATTATCGTTGTCCAGAATTTTATTTTAGCGATGGGAAGTCAGAGCCCATCAGAGAGCCTGGTAATTGGTTGTCTATGACATGAACACTAAGGAAGCAAATCATGAAACGAATCTGATGATTGGTTAAAACCAGTCTTAATGAGTAACAGGGAACATCGTGTAATTAAATCAATAGAAAGAGTGAAACGGTGAAGGGAAGGAAGGACTAATATCTTAGTGTGTGGTAAATCAACAGATTTGGAGCCGTTCACCAAGATGAACTGTCAGTGAGCCTGACAGTTGGATATCTTATGAGCAATCTAGAGAATAAGCTCCATCTGGAATAGAATAAGTATGATTTTTTTTGTGAGCTAAAGAAACGATGATGGGTTGTGCAATGAGTCTTTAAGGAATTTTATATCTGAATGTCTATTTTTAATATGATGTGAAAATTTTCATGTGTGTTGAGACTGGATGGAAAAAATGAAAAAGACATGAACTTTGAAAATTTGAATATAATAGATCAAAAGGACAATATCAATAGTAATTTATTTATGTATAATATATGTTTTTAACTAAATAAGTGTCAAAGCAATATAAACACTGGTATTAGGAATTGATGTATTAGGAACTTGTACTGGCAGCAATATGCATGCTTATGAAAATTCTCTCTGGGTATACGCGGTATTCAATTGATATTGATTGAAAAAATAAAGACAGCACATTATCAAGTCATAGCTGGGAATTTGGGTCTACCTATAGAAAATAATATTTTAATGTCTCTAAGAAGAATAATTCAAATAATATACTCTTAGGATGAAAGTAAGATCAGAAGTTGGTCATTGGAGTCAGGTGCTAGTGGCTCATATTTGTAAACTTAGCCATTGAGGAAGAAGAGATCTGGTGGAACATGGTTTAAAGTCAGACTTGGCAGAAGAGTCCATGAGATTCTATCTCAAAAAAAAAAAAACCTAGCAAGAAGCAGGACTGGAGGCATGGCTCAAATGCCAACTGAACAAACCTTTTGAGCATGTATAAAGCCATGAGTTAAAAAATAAGTTGATCTTTAGATAGTCACAGAAATATGTTTAGGGATCTGCCATTCATAATGACCAGAAGTACCATCAGAAAGATTGACAGGTATTACATTGAGTATATCTTCAAAAATCTGGAATCCAAGTTGAAAAAACAAGATGTTATCATTTAAACAGGCAGTGAGAGGGAATTATGTTACAACAAATACTTCACATAAGCAATTTCATGTCATAAAGTTCCAAATGCATAGTTAGGTATTCTAAAATCAAACAAAAACCAGCTATATGCAAGTACACATTCATATACAAACAAACCAGATCTATTTATAAATTTAGAACAGTTTGTTCTAGCAAAATTAAATATTTTATTTCATTTGTATTTCCTATATTTAGTAATGATAGCAATGCCCTTTCACCATTATAGGATTTCTTTTTATTAAGAAACTCTTATTTTTCATATGCAGAATAGAGTAGCTAACCTATTTTTCCTAAATCTCCAACAGGAGATTTACAAATCACATTCTAGCATCTTTCTGTTCAGAAGACATCTGAGATTTTTTCAAGCTTGAATAAATAAAATATTATTATTAAGCAAAGTTCTAGGAATAGAAAGACATTTATTTTTCCAGTATCTTATTCAAGGAAATCTCAATTATTTAATTGTGTTTCTAATGTCCCTTGTTCCTTCCCATGTTCTTGGAGAAGAATATATGGTAGAAACAGCCCTGGGATTCTATGCTTCAAAATAGGCCAATCTTTGAAAAGGAATCAGAGTTAATTTATTCCTGCTACATAAGGTTTACATCGTCTTTATCCTTTACAAGTAGGTCTGTGCAGAGTATGAGATTATACCAATAGTTTCCTTGTTTTTTTTTTTTCAGGTTATGACATCTGATTTGATTTTTACTGTTGGTAAAGCTGAAAACTGACAGTATTTATTACGTGTTCTACATATTCTTAGAAGAAGGTAAAGTCTAGATTTAATTCCTTACAAAATCACCAACTTATTAGAATTGTTCTTCTTTACCTGACACAAACATATTTTTCTGGCATGGACATTCATTTGTTTTCAAAAATGTAAAATATTTCATCTTTCCAAGTTAAATAAATGACCCTTTTGTAATTTATAAAATTTAAAGCATAACGGTAAATTATAGCATGAGGAGAAAATTAAAATGCTTAAATATTTCAATAAGTATAAGGAATTGTCTAAAATTAAGCTGTTCAATCTAGAACAAGACCAAAGATTGAATCTCGTTCAGATAAAAAGAGCAAGTGTGATGATCTCTTTCAATCCATGATCTAATGAGAAATACTAATAGAACTAAAGCAAATTATGGGAAGAGAAAAACTATAATCAAAATGCTATACTCTTAGAAGCCTTGTACTAGGCAGAGTGGCATTTACTAAGCTCCTCGCTTTTTAGCTGGCATCTCTATCTTCTTCTGATATGAAGATTTGCATTGTTACCTCCTTATATATGTACGGAAAATTTCAAAATAATACTTCTTAGAAATTTGATGAACTATCTCTTAAAATTAGCACCTGGAAGACATAAACTTCAAAGTCAAGTGACAGATAATAATAAAATTTCATGTGATATAAAACTATTATTATATTGGAAACATTGTAAAAAATTTATACAGTGATAATATGGAAGTAAAACACGGGTATCAAAGGCAATTTTAGTCATATTTTCAAACTGATAATGATTTGGTTTTTGACATATTTTTACTATATATATATATATATATAAACACATTTTAAAAATAAATATACTTACCCCCTGAAAGGAGAGCCGGCTTACTTTTTACCATTGGGCTGGAATGGGGGAACTTGTTGCTAAATGACATGAACAAGTGTGCTGTGAAATCGTCAGGAAGCTCTGCTTCCAGGAATGTCTTCATAAATAGCTTGAAACCTTCAAAATCTATCGTCTGGAAGACAACAATGTTTAAACACATATTTTAAGATCAAGACACATGTTATAAGATTTTGTGTAACATTTAAAATCTGTAGCGGTAAGAATTAGCACAGACACTTTGCCTTTCCAAAACAGAAGTATTCACATGAGAAAAGGGTTGGGAAGTCCTACACTAGTTTTGACAAATGAGATGCATGTTTCATCTCTGATGGTAAAGTAAGAGATGGAGATTTCTGATGAGATATTTTTATCAGCATAGTATTTAGAGGACCTGATACATTTTTAATCTTTTGAATCTGCTAACAATTGGGACTGTCACTCCCAGTGTTACTGAGATGCAAGGGTTAAATCAGGTTCCTGGCTGAAAAGTTAATGTTGGTTCATGCATTCACACTACAGGCACACTGAAAGAACAGAATTTCTCATCTTCTTTCCTGGTCTATAATGATGATTATCACTTTCAGAAATTTCAAAATAAAATAATTATTGCTTCACATAGTTCATGCCTGTAATCCTAGTTACCGAGGAGGCTGAGATCTGAGGATCATGGTTCAAAATCAGCCAAGGCAGGAAAATCCATCAGACACTTAACACAATTTAACCAACAGAAAAAGCAAAACCAGGAGAAGACAGGTTACTTAAGTGGTAGAGCACTAGTTTGAATAGAAAAGCTCAGTGACAGGGCATAGGCCCTCAGTTCAAGGCCCAGAACTGGCACACTCACATGCGTACACACACACACACACACATATCATTAATGCTTCAGCTACTTAATAAGATCAATTGATAAAACATCCTCAAACCTCATTTTAGTCTTTTAAAGAAACATATACCTTTCACACCCTTCCTCACTACAGTGCTGTCTTGATCAGACTTTCATTTGGAAGTCATTGATAGTGCTGAATCTCTTGGCTACCTAAAGGAATGGCTAGAGAATCCACCTTGGGACATCCATCTCAGTAAGAAGTTTTCACAGAAACCTCCACAGAGTTCCCTCTTCCTCTGCTGAGGAAAAGGGCAGGCTGGAGTCTGACTCCTCCCTGGAAATTGGAGACCAGTATGCCCAGATTTTGTAGAAAAGGGCAGTGAATATTATCATTATAGATGTGGTGAAAACACTTTGGAGGAAAGGAATAGGAATGAAAGAGTGTTTCTGAGAAATGGATAAAGATAATGTAGAAGAGACCTGTGGCAGTGTTGTAGGTCCTGTCCCTCTGAAAGAATGATCAAACGTACTAAGACGAAGGTGGAACAAAGCCGTATTTGTCAAGAGTAAGAGAAGCCAAGGAAAGATGAGCCTGAAAGAAAGCCCTTATAAGGCTGCTTTTTCCCCCCTCCTCACACAGTTTAATGTACTGAGATGACGCTAAAAATAGGCCAAAAGTGAAATTTGGCAGGCTGTTTTCAATTTTTCTCAAAGCCCTGGCAAAAGAAGAATACAATTAATTCTCCAAACTGTTATTTTTAAAATGAAAAAAGTCAACTTTTCCTATGTGATGCATTGGAGGGAGATAGCAGAAGGTGACTAATGCCTATTATCATTATTTATTATTATTGTAATTGCTGCTATTATATTGTGATTTTGGATAAGCCTAAGGTGGAATACATTATTCAAAGCTATCACTGGAAAAAGTAAATTGTGAAAGATTATCTCATGTGCAAGCTATATACGTATATACATGCAAGTATATACATGTACTTCACACATAGATACATGTATACATGTATGTGTATTATATGTGCGTATGTGCATATACACATATATGTGTACATACAGACATACAAATACATATGTAATAAATTTTAACTTAGTCTCATGGAAAAGAAAAAGAAACCAAAACTTCTTTTTATTAATAGTTCTTAGACTCTGCCTACACTCTGCCTGACATTTGCAGTTTAGTTTAGTTTTGCTTATTTATTCTCAGATTTAAGATATTATATTGGTGGTTGTAAGGAAGTATCATTTTGTCTTCATTTAATAAATCATTACCATCTCAGAATTATAAAAGCTCCAAAAATTGAATTGCGTAATTAAAAACTGTGAGTTGTAGAACAATATAACAGTTTTGCAAAGGAAAAGTACTTTCAAAAGGTATTTAGAGCTGGACACTGAAGACTCACACTTGTAATCTGATGATTTGGATTCAAAGCCAGCCAGGTAAGCCAAATCTGGGAAACTCTTATCTCCACACAAACAGTAAGAATCTAGAACTAGAAGCACCCTTAAGTGGTAGAGCACCTTAATGAGTTCAAAAATCTATCAAGAGCCCAATCTTCAGATTTAAAGCCCTAGCACTAGCAGCAACAATAAACAAAACAAAGGCTACACATTACATTAAATGTAGTAAACATTTAAAAATACAAAGACCAACAGCTAGGCAAAAGTTTCAATTAAAAGTAATGCCTATTAATAGCATTCATTATTAGACATATTAAACAGAGGTAATCCATGCTCAGTTGGATGAGTAACCAATACCAGTAGATAACCCTCCACATGTGTGAAGCCCCTGATAGAATTAGGGGTTGATTTTATTGCAGAATTCTGTGAAATCTATGGGACAAAAAATATTTATAGGCATAGGGTAGGAACAATGTCATGAGTGGTATGGCTTCATTCTGAGTCCTAGATCTCTGATTGTATTCTGTTTAGCATACACAAATAATTAGAGACTTAGTCTTTTCAGGCAGACAGCCTGTATAAGCTCTTGAATCCAAGACTAGCTATGTGACTATGCAGATATGATTTCCTCTCAAGGAAAATTTTCAACTATAAAATTAAAATAAAAGTACCAAGACATAGCTCTTAGCTTTTAAGGAGGATTAGAGCATTTACTATTTTTAAGGCACCAGAAATGGGATACAAGTAGTAAAACAAATATAAACAGTATTTATGTAATTATAATCAAATTAAGTTTCCATAACTCCAAGTAATATTGAAAAATTAGCCTTAACTGCTATAAATACCTCCATGTATATTTCATAATCATTATGTTCTTGGTTATTGTCACTGTTTATTGTCCAATGGTTATTCTATAAAATTAAGAAAGTGAGGGAAAATGAGTAGGGAAGGGATGTATTCATAAACTGCTTTGTTAAATGGCAACTCCTTCGTAAACTATTTAAAAATGATAAAAATAATAATCTAATATGTTTTTAAAAATCTGACCTTTTAGAAGGTTCAAAGGGCTAGATGTCAGAAGTTTCACAATGGGCCTCATTTTGTAGAATAATAATACTTTGAAGCAGCTATTATAAGAGTTTGATGAAGTAACAAAAAAAGCAAAAAACAACAAGAACAAAGCAAGAACAACAGCAAAAAGCCCACAGATGTATACATAAAACCAAAATCAGATTCTATTTCTTCTATTTGTGCCCTTAGTGACCCTGCGTAAGGAATTTAGAGGCTGACGTTTGGCTTTGAAACAAAACACTTGCCAAATCTCAATTATGTACTCTTTATAGGACTCTCCCTACCCAGCAAGGTCCACATCAAAATAAGCACCTGCAATATACTAATTAAAACCAAAAAAATAACCAGCTCAGAGAAGAAAATGAACCAAAATGCCTATTGTCCAGTTAACAAACCATACAATGAATGCTTCTGTATTGTTCTGTATCTTCCTAAGAGTGCTTGCTCAATTCTTAGACTTTCTCCCCTTTCTCAAATGCCCTAACACTCTTTTTCACAACAAACAAACAACTCATTTTAGCTCTATTTTCGGACCACTCTAGCTAGGTCTTTATTTCCTCCCCCAAAAGTGAAACATGAGATCAAAATTTCTGGTTTGTTGTCTAAATGGATAAAAGTGATATAAAGCATTTCATATACTTTTGAATATATAACATGTAAAACCAAAAAAAATAAAATGATGAATATAAGGGAGCATTGTCTCAAGTAAGACAGATATTTTTATCATCATAATTTGACTTTTTATTAGTATAGAGAATTATGAAGTTCAAAGAATATTCTCAAATCAGAACTTCAGGTTTGTTTTGTCTCAGACATTTGGCTGTAATTTTCTGTATTAGACAGCATTCATACTAATTCAGAAAGCAAGAATTTAAAAATAGTTTACTTTAAAAAAAACAAAAAACAAGTCTATTCCTGAGAGGAGAAAAAATGGAATCAGTATTTCTTTAAGTCCTCAATGGCATCTAGGAAATGATGTGATATTATTTTTTGCTAAATTTCCGACAGGGTGAACATGTTCCTCACCTTCTCCACTGTGTTCTTGCCAGCAAATCGCTCTCTTTTATTTTATGCTGATATACGTGATCCACAATGTTTAAAAGGTGACCATTCTTTATAGCTAACAATAAACTGACTTGACTAATGAGAAATTATTCTTCAATTCCTTTCCTGAGTAGCCCATTTCCCTTTTGTTCATAAAAGATTTTATGTTATTCAAATGATCAGATGCTTCTGATAAGTGAATGAAGTCTTTGACTTACATATTTTCCTCATCTCAGGGCTTAATGATTTTTTTCTTTCAAGTTTGAGTACAGTTTCTACTGCTAATATTGAAAGACATTGACCTTTAAACATAATGAAATCATTTATGTGTTTATTAATTTTTAAAAAAATAATGAGAATCGTTGGGCAAAATTTAATTGGATGGGTATTCAAAACTGGAATCAGCTGAAAACTCATATGTATATGCATACCCACAGTGTTTTAAATGTAAATGTTGCTTTTCAATTTTGCTCTTTAAGAAACAGGCACAGACTAGTTAGGGAGACAACAGAGGTAATCTGGAAAACAAAGGCGAAGGTAACAATGCTTGATAGGACATGTTCTCATTACCTTGCTCATGTAACTGTAACCCCTCTGTATAGTATTTTTACAATAAAAAACATATAAGAAAGAATAAAACATTAAGGGAGCAGCTAAACTGTTGCTAACAAGTCAGCAAAAAACACGTGTCTATATTTTCATTACTTTATTTGATCATCTGTACCCTTTGTTTTTAATACCTCTGTAATGCTAAAGTAATGACACCAGTATTCATCTGA